TGTGTGTGTGTGTGTGTGTGTGTGTGTGTGTGTGTGTGTGTGTGTGTGTGTGTGTGTGTGTGTGTGTGTGTGTGTGTTTGTGTTTGTGTTCAGGCACCAGAGTTATCCATCTAAAGTGCCATTTAATGGAGGTCACGACATGTGGTGCTATTTTCTCTGAAGCCATTTCTCACAAAAACACATGAGAATTGTCATTAATGTGACACACTCACAGCTGTTTGCACACGCACAAACACACACTTCCTGCATGCTTGTAACATCTGTCTTATTCATAATCCACCAAACATCACTAATTCAATCATTTCATCCCACTATTAAAGTCCACCAGTGTGCACTACTATCCAGCAGGGGGCACTCACACACATGCCTACAAACCAAAAATCAAGCATAATTGTCTCAGTAGAGTTTAAACCTCTTACTTCACTTGCTCTCAGAGGAGCACAGCTGTCGATCGGTGTGTGTGTGTGTTTGTGTGTGTGTGTGTGCGTGCCTAACCTGAGAAGTGTCAAACAGTTGAGCCTTTTAGTCTCCAGCAGTTGAGCTTGTCGGATTTGTTATGTTACAATGGGATGATGTTCCCAGACGGACAGCTGGGAGTGATGCTGTTTGTACGATGCTGTGGGCTACAGTGGATGTACACGCTGGTGCATTTAATTCAAGTTTCTCCTATAAGAATTCTTTATAAGGAAATTCATAAACAATAAATGCCTGCATCAGTGTGAACAGCTAAAAATGGAGTACCCAGCCACAAACTGAAGAAACAGCTGTAACAGAGGCGCAAAAGACAACAAAACTGTAATTCAATCAATTAACTACACAATTATGCAACAGTATCCACGCTTCACTCAACAAAGTAACAGATTAGCGGCTCCTGTGCGAGTGACTCAGCGTATCTCAGCAGGTTCACTGTAGGAGATGATCTCTGCTGGTGTGTGAGAAAAGTCGCTGCAGTGACAGAAACTGAACGCTTTCAGGTGCCACCTTAGTTACTCATGCATAAAGTTCAGGTAAGCAGTAAATTATGAAGGATCCATATGGTTAAAAATAAGTAGCCTTAAAATGTAAATAATTTCTGCCATTTATGGTTTCCTCTTTATATTCACATTTTGTGCAGAAACAATCATATGAAATGCCATTTTTATGTGAGAACCGGAAGCGGAAAGATTGGTTTAACAGAGGAAGTTGATAACTTCTGCCATTATCTCAGATGGGTTTCAGCTAAGACATGTCTGTGAAGGTTCTCAGTCATCCAGGTCATCGTAGTCAAAGGAGCTTGCAAAGAAAAGCGTCTGGACTTCTTTAAGTTGCTTAAGTTGCTTCAGCTAAGACAGAATGATCGGCTGAGTTTTTTGTAGTTTAGCTCTCTGCTCTACCTTGTGAGCTGTAAATGTCTCAAATAAATCAGTATATACATTTCAACAAAGGAAAACAATAAGTGACCTTCAGATTACAGCAGAATTTCAGTGTTAAGTGTTCAGTATTAAACTTCTCATTGTCTGAGAGACAGGATGTGTATGTAGCATACATGCCAGTAAGTAACAACACTGCATCATTTACAGAAAACAATCTTTGTCAGATCAATAAGTGGAGTGGCCCACACTGATTAGCATCACTTTCGTTTTTCCCAGCCTGATTAGCTGATCTTGTGGCTTTACAGCCAGACTGAAGAGCAGACAGAGCTAAGTGATGGCTGGTGCTGGATTTTTTTTTACAGTTCATAAATACATTTCAAAACAACCACCTTACAAATAAACGAATGAATCTAAAAAGAAAAAAACAGCAAGGAAATCAGTAAGTGGTAATCTTTCCTTCAATCATCAACGGTAGCATGACTTTTGTGGCTTGCCAGGCTTTAATCAGATGCTTGCATAACACCAAATGATTATATAATAATGCAGCCAATATGCATAATTTCTAAAGTCCCTGAAAGCTACACAGGCTACAAACAAGTGACATACCCATACTCGCTGCAGCTTACAGCCTTCTGAAGAACCACAAAGTGCATTTGGACTAATGAGCTGATCACGATGATTATACATGTACACTACGGTGCAATACAAACATGTAGACTTTGTTTATCTCAGTCAATGCTTCTGAATGAAACTGGAGAAAATTGTCCAGTCTGGCCACAGTGCTATTAAGCAGTTTCAAGGTCTCTTGCTAGCTAACATGTAGTGCAACAATGAAACGAACAATGAAACCAGATTCATTTCTAATCAAAGTCGCAAATTAAGTGGAGCGAAACGAGGGAAGCTTGCAAATAATAAAAAGAAATTTGAAAAATAACTCCTAAGTATGTCATTGCGAGTTTTCACAAGCTTACCATTAAATTAAAATATTTAAAATTTTAATCCATGTGACAGATTCTTTCATTTACTAAATATCGTGTTTAAAAGTGAATTTAAGCAGGACGCATGAGGCCCACTCACTGGCTGTGAATTCACCGGACAATGACCGCACCATTCTCTTACAGTATGTGTGCAGTTGGACATCACAAAGTCTTTGCGCTTGAGAATTAGCAGGCAAAAACAACAGATTATTCCCAATCTATCTACTGTATATATCCACAAATATCACACATGCACCTTCTTCAAAGAGGGTCAGAAAAGTTCAAGGCTGCTGTGCATGTCTTAAAATGGCTTTAGTTTCTGTGTCTGTAGGGAATCGGAAGGTTTTGACGTTCAGTCACAGTTTAGCAATTCTCAAACATTCTAAGTGGTTTTCACAGCAAATTAAAAATTTCTGAGTGTCTATTTGTAAACGCAGCACTGATCTCTACACTGACCGCGGTGTCAAAGCCTGACCTTGACTCCTTTTCAGGCTTCCCTTGAAGCACTCGGAAAGGTCAGCGTGGAGATGCCAAGAATGCACAAACTGAGTAACAATATAGCTCTCTCTCCTAGGGTCTTAAATTTTAGGTTTCTCCTCCTTCATTGTACTGTACACACAGACACACAAGCAAATGTCCTGACGCTGCATTTTTCCCCCGTGCGCCTCAGAGGAATTCCAGTCTCCCGGTCAAGTATAAGTTTAGTATCTGCTGAGAGGACGCGTAAATAATACTCCCTTTATTCCCTCTGTCCCTCTCGCTCTCTATTTTTGCTCCTGTGTCTCTTCCTTTGTTGTTCTCTCTCTCACCCTCTCTATGTCCATCTCCCCCCAGGAGGTTTGCGGTTACACTCCAGCAGCCAGCTTTCAGCCTCCGTGGAAAATCCCCCCTCGCCGGCAAACAGCAGTGGTGCGATCCTGTGGTCTGGGGCTAAAAATGGGACAAACCATCTCACACAGAAATACACAGCTGGGGGCCGGGTGGGGTCACATGACTGAGGGCAGCTTCGCGAGGTCAAACATCTTCCAGCGGCAACGAACCGCTGAAACTGACGCATCAGAAAAAAAAGCTTT